AGCCATTTCTCCCCCCAGAAGCATTATTACTTTGGCAATAAGTGGATTGTAAAAGTGGATTTATTATCAGCCCCTTGATTACTCTGCAGATGTTTTAAATTATTGCTACCCAGCTTAATGTTCCCTAAATTAACTGTTTTCAAAGTATTTACAAACACAGTTTAACAATTAGAATACAGCATATAATTACTCTTTTTAATAAAAACAGATATTAGAAGAGAGAGTGCTTTATTAAATAGACTATGACTCAAAAGGAAAACACTTTTAGTCAAAGGACTGAGATGTTCATTACGTAAATTAAACTATTCAAATGTTGTAACAGGCATACATGTAAGATATGCAGCAAGTCTAGCTTCTTAAGTCAATCAAATACATTCTACCAGGCAACATGCCCCCTTAAGCATTTGCTTAAAACTTAAGCACAAAACACAGCACATGCTTAAGTGCTCTGCAGCAAGTTCTACCACTGGTGTGTAGTTCGCAAAAGAAAACTCATACAATGTAGCACTGATACAACAGTAACCTACTGAAGCATGACACGTTTCCTGCAAAAATACAATATTTCATTTTGTTATTTTTGCTGTACGGTTGCAGAATATCCTAAACCCCACAAGGAACAATTACCTATACTAACAGTATTTGGGCAACTTCGTTGCCTCATAACCTCAGCTACAGGACAAGGAAACAAAATACATTAGCTGCTTCTTTCAAAAGTGAAGAAAGATGGGAGAAAAAAGTTAGGACAAATTGCCACTGGCAGCCAAGTACCTTTGTTTTGAACAAGTCTTCCATCCTTACCTCGGCAAATGCATCTTTCATGAGCACTGAATCCATCTAAATAGAAAGGGCTGGTGTTTGACTTGACTCTTTATCAACACAAAATTATACACAGAAAGCATTGTACTTTTGAACATATCAACCAATTAGTTAAAACAGGATTTTCATACATCCACTTTCATGGTGAACTGAGGTGTTTCCTGAGGCAAGGAATCTAATGTAAGTGCAAACCAGTTTTTTCAGCTGTGCTGGCTCTCCACAGCAACTGCATGCAGAGCAACTGGGTTCTACCACAGTTCTCAAATGTCTGCCATCACAGAAGGAACTAGAGGAAAAGGTTGCACCTCTTCTAGCTCCTGTTCCCAACTCCTATGTCTCAACACCTAGGTGAGAAGGGACAAACTGATCTACAAAGTTAAGCTGCTATCCCTAATATGAATTCCTTGATTGTGTAAAGTGAATTTGAAAACTGAACCACTTAATTGGTGTAGCACCCTTTATGTATCACTCCTCCACACTGTCTTAGTCCAATGGATTGCCAAAAATCCTATTGCAAAAAATCATCCAGCTCAGGTGACCTTGGCACTCCCGTCTTCACTTTTTCATCAGCAATCCTGAGGGTCTTGATGCTCTGCACCCCTTTAATTGCTTCTCTGAAGCCATCCAGTTCTACTGGGAAGATACATATTGTATCATGAAATGTCGCAGGGCTATGATCTTGCTGGGATCACAGAGACATGGTGGGACGACTCCCATGAGTGGAGTGCTGCAATAAAGGGATACAGGCTCTTTAGGAAAGACAGGCCAGGAAGACAGTGAAGTGGTGGAGTTGCCATTTGTGTAAGAACACAGCTGGAACGCATAGAGGTCTGCCTTGGGATGGACAATAAGCCAACTGAGAGCTTATAGGTAAGGACTAAAGAGATGACAGGTATGGGTGACATTACAGTGGGTGTCAGCTATAGGCCACCTGACCAGAAAGAAGCAGACGAGGCCCTCCACAGACAGCTAGAAGCAGCTTCATGTTCACAGGACCTGGTCCTCAGTATATCTACGGGAGGGACAACACAGCAGGACATAAGCAATTCAGGAGGTTCCTGAAGAGCATTGATGACAACTTCCTGACCCAAGTGACAGAGGAACCGAGGAGAAGAGGTGCTCTGCTGGACCTCATACTCACCACCACCAAGGGGCTTGCTGGGGATGTGAAGGTCAAAGGCAACCTTGGCTGCAGCAACCATAAGATACTGGAGTTCAGGATCCTGAGATGAGGAAGCAGGGCAAAAAGCAAGCAGAACACTGGACTTCAGGAGAGCAGACATTGGCCTCTTCAAAGATCTGCTTGGTACAGTCTGATGGGATAAGGCCCTGTAGGGAAGGGGGGCCCAAGAAAGCTGGTTAATATTCAAGGGATCACCTCCTCCAAGCTCAAGAGTGGTCCATCCCAGTGAATAGGAAGGCAGGCAAAAACGCCAGGAAGCCTGCATGGATGAACAAGGTGCTCCTAGCAAAACTCAGACACAAGATGGAAGCATACAGACAGTGGAAGCATGGACAGGTAACCTACTAGGAATATAGAGACACTGTGCAAGCACGCAGAGATGCAGTTAGAAAAGCCAAAATCCCACCTGGAATTGAATCAGGCCAGAGATTTCAAAGGCAACAAGAAGGGCTTCTATAAGTACATAGATGAAAAAAGGAAAGCTAGGAAAAATGTGAGCCCAGTGCTGAATGGGGCAGGGGCCCTGGTGACACAGTGCATGGAAAAGGCTGAGGTGCTGAATGCCTTCTTCACCTCTGTCTTTACTAGCAAGACTGGCCTTCAGGAATCCCAGGCCCAGAGACCAGGGGGAAAGCCTGGAACAAGGAAGATGTGTCCTTGGTTGAAGAGGATCAGGTCAGGGAATAGCTAAGCAAACTAAACATGTGTAAGTCCATGGACCCTGATGGGATGCACCCATGAGTGTGGAGAGAGTTGGCAGATACCATCATGAGGCCACTCAATACTCACAGCAACTGGGAGAAGTGCCCAAAGACTGGAGGAAAGCAAATGCCACTCCCATCTTCAAGAAGGGCAAGGAGGAGGAACCAGGAAAGTAGCCAGTCAACCTCACCTCAATGAGGTGATGGAGCAACAGATATTGGAAATTATTTCCAGGCACATGAAGGACAAGAAAATCATCAGGAGTAGTCATCATGGATTCATCGCGGGGAAGTTATGCTTGACCAACCACATAAACTTCTATGATTAAATAAATGGCTGGCTTGGTAGATGAGGGGAGAGCAGTGGATATAGTCTACCTTGACTTCAGGAAGGCTTTTAACACCATCTTGGATGAGCAAACAGTGAGGTGGATTGCAAACTGGCTGAGCAGCCGGTCCCAGAGGGTGGTGATCAGTGGAACAAAGCCTAGTTGGAGGCCACTAACAGTGTACCCCAGGGGTCAACAGCAGGTCCAATCGTGTTCAAAATCCTGGAGCATATGAGGAAAGGCTGAGAGCTGGGGCGTTTAGCCTGGAGAAAAGAAGGTTCAGGGTGGTAATCTTACCTATGTGTACAAATATCTGAAGGGAGGGTGTAAAGGTGGAGCCAGAGTTTTTTCAGTGGTGTCCAGTGACAGGACCGGAGGCAATGGGCATAAACTGAACCACAGGAGGTTCCCTCTGAATAGCAGAAAACACTTTTTCACTGTGAGGGTGACAGAGCACCAGCCCAGGTTGCCCAGGGACGTTGTGGAATCTCTGTCCTTGGAGATATTCAAAAGCTTTCTGGACGTGGTGTTGGGCAACCAGCTCTAGCTAAAGCTGCTCGAGCAGGGGGTTTGGACCAGATGACCTCCAGAGGTCCCTTCCAACCTCAACGACTCTGTGATTCCGTGATATGTTGAAATTTGCTTAAAAGAGGAAAGACACTCCACTGTATTTCCCCTCCTTTTATTATTCTGATTTCTTCCCAAAATAGCATAACAATGTACTCACAAATGAAATTTGATAAAAGAAATCTAACAAACTAGCTTTGACACACACAAACTTCAATGAAACATTTCAGCACTTCTAAAGTGTTGGCATTTTTCAGCTAGTTTCATGAGTACTAATTCTAGCACACAAGAAAGAGTATTGTTTTCTTAATTTCAGCAGCAGAAGTGACTGTGAATGTACTGCTTTGGTGAAGGTTATAGGTGTTCTGTACAATAATAAAAAAAAAAAAATCAGGACACATGGAGGGAAGAGTATGACCTAATTACAGGGAAGGCAATACAACTACAAACTCAAATGATTTGAACGCTTAACTTTGTAACAGAAATGTTCTTTCCTAGGTTTATTATAGCTTTTCAAAATACTCATGTACCATCAACATTTCCTCTCTATGTGAACTATACTAGGCGACAGCAGCAAACAGCTCCCATTAGCCCAAGAAGGGAGACAAAAAATATGAAGTACACACACCTTCTCAGTAGTGGCTGGCTACAAGCATGTGGAAAGCAGAGCAAACACCATGTCAGAAATCCCTAAGCCAGCTCTAAGAGACTGATGGGCAGTTAAGATGGTAGTTAGGCACCATTCTGCCTATTGATATCATTAGATTACACTCCCAAACAAAATATTTGGCTCTAATTTGGGGATTGTTATCCACATGTACTGGGGTGTATACACACATACATAGCCCTCTGTCCCAAACTGAACTTCTAGTATCCTCAAATGTTATACAGGCTTCCCTTTTAGTTCATGATCCAGTATGTGACCGTGTTCCTAACGCCTTAAGGACTGCAATGAGGTCCCCATCACCACCAATAGCTCATCATTCTGCCGAGCCCATTTGGAATTTTATGAAACAAGTAAGAAACACATCTTAAGATCTGTCTAATAAGTTTCAGGAGACATTAAAACTACCAAAAAGACAGGAGAGTCTTTAATACAGTAGAAAATTATTCATTAATCTAAGTTCAGCAGCTGTTATTGATTACTGTATAGTCATACTTGGAAAAACAACATACAGATTTAAAAGTTTAGAAATTCAGTTATTTCAGAGCAGTTTTGTACAGAACAAACTCATCTAATCTCAAAAGCACCATGAAGTGACACTACATATCAGCAAGCACAAAAAAACAAGAGCATCATGGGACTTTACTATGTAAACTACACCTTCAAACTACACCTCAGGTAGATTTACACTGCAGGCTTGAGCACAGCACAGAGGTACTCAAACTGACTTAGATATTATTTGCCATCTAGCTCTGCATGCAATGTAGACATACCCTATATGTCTGAATATATCTCATTATGAATTAACTGAGCTCTGCAGAACAATATTTAGGCCCTCATTCTGCACCATCAAAGTCAACAGTCATTTTTCCATCAGCTTCAGAAAGTGCAGGGTCAGGCTTGTAATCACAAACACACTTCTACTAATAAAACATTTGTTTCTAACATGAAGTTGTGTCAAGTTCAAACATGAGTTTTGAGAGCATGCAGATTGCTTACAAATGCTTAAAAAGACTGGTTCAGAATCTTTCTTATATACACACACACACAAGTCCATCTGTCACAGACAGGCAATGTAACTCAGAATCATGAGCTTGCTCTAGTTTTTGGTAGTGTCCTGCACACTTCTGATAATTAAAAAATAAAAAGTAAAAAAATAGTTGCCACAATGAATTTCTGACCATTCCAACTTGCACATGGATATTATCTCTTCTTGCTGCATCCAGTATGTGAAGTTTCACAGTTGCTTCTCAAATGCAAATACCAAGTAAATACCTAAAAAAGAAAATGGAGTATTTAAAGTTTCAGCTTCCTCTGCCACTTGATTAAGTTTTCAAAATGTAAACAGGTTGATGCTCTGCCCAAACAACCTGTTAGCAGGTTATTGAAATTATAAAAACTGCTATGGTTTCCCAATGAGTAACTCCAGCATTCCAGCACGGTTTTAGACATGTTTTCACAACAGAGCTTAGAATGCACAAAAGCAAAATATTTTAAATACTGTTGATATGGTTAATGCAATGCTAACTTCAGTTAGCAATATTACTGAAATGTGAATGTAATTCATAAATTACCATGCCATTCTACACATAGTTAACATTAATTGGTACATAAAAAGTCATATGCAAGTTAAGTTTAAAGACTCCTTCATACACACAGTAACAGACAATTAGGGGTGAAATTATCAACTTAATTTTTAATTAAAAAGTTAATAAACTCATAGTACAAAATTACTTTTTTTGCTCTTTTAAAATATCACAAAGAAGAAATATTTAATAATGCTAGATGGCATTTTCTCAACTCCAGAACAGTATGATTCCAGAAATGGATACTCATACAGTCCACACCAGCACCCTTAGGAAATACTTACTTGGCATATAATCAATGCCAGCTATGTCAGAAATTCTTATGCTTCATACCAGACAGATAACTTAAACCAGTTTCTTGAGACTGTGACTCTAATTAAACATTTATGGATTTCCACTTGAACTCAGGTTTTGTTTTAATGGATGAGGTGCCACAGCTACATTGCAAATCTTTCAAGACAAGCCTCAGCGATAAAGCAAGTTCCATGCAAAGAGCAAGCTGTGCTTATACCCTAACTATCAGAAGCTCTGTAATCCACATCTCTCTGAAAAAAGAGGCTACTTAGAAAATACAGTCATCATTGAACTTTTAAAGGTATAAAAAGCCCCTCTCAATTAGATTAATAGTTTACTTAATACTTTTACATTGTTGGAATTAATGTCCACATTACGAGTCATACCTTTAAAAAACAGATAATAATTTAAGAAAGCCAACACCTTAACTAAAGTCTTTTTCATTCATGAATTGAACATTATTTGTTGTTTGTTTTTAAACCACTAACACAAACAGTATAATGGTCTGCAAAAATGCAAATGCTGGTTGGCTGCAGTCACACAGAAGTTAGTAATAACTCTCTGGGAGTCAATTTTTATCCTTAGAATTCTCAGTCCCTTGTATCTGAGTTTTATTAAACACAACATTGGAAAAGAATTATGTCAAAAGTTTTCCATGGCACATGCTCATAAAATTTCAAAATATATTTAACAGTAGTGCATCCTTTTTGGTGTCTGAGGCACTAACTACTTCTCCTCCCTTTATAAAACATTCATATACCTCTTTACCATCCATGCTTTAATTGCTTTTTCCTGAAACATATATCACTACAGGCAAAGAGTATAGCTTCAGTCCCTGTCTTCCTGAAACAGATTTGTATTATTTTTGATGAATGTATGTCCCAACTAGAGTTTGTTTTCTAGCTGACTGATAACAGTATAATATCCAAGTGTACCAAACAGAAGTATATTATCTAATCCTCTAATACTAGCAAAATAATCCTTTAACACTGGCATCTCCTTTTCATATATCCTAAGTAAGGCTTCGCCAAACTATTTTAGCCCAAAAGTTTGCATGCTAGAAGTTATTTAAATAAAGCAAAATTTCAATCTATTTTATGCATTTCCTCCCCATTTCTTGAGATGTGTGCACTACATAATCTATATACAGGCATGTGAATAACACAAATAATAAAATCTTGTTATATTTAAAATTTGGATTTTCTTCCATAACCAACAGGCTATTTTACACACTTTCCATAGCAGTCATTCAGTCAACACTGAGTTTTCAAAACAATACTTACTTGTTGCTTCCCATTCAGATTTACTCAAGGTTCCCTAGAAGGGGACAAAAAAACCAAAAACAGTTTCAACAAAAAATGAGGAAACAACAAAACACCGATTTAACTTGGGATAATCAAAATTTCACAGACCAACTTCTAACCACTCACAGTGGCTGGCTATTTAGGGAGTAGAAGAGCATTACTGTAGACCACAGATACTTATAACTCCAGTAACTAGGATGGTAGGGAATTGGAACACTCCAGATAACGGAACACACCTGAATTACACAGGTACAGGAGAACATGTGAACAGTCTGCTGGGCTGGATGCCTCTGCAATGCCGAGCACGCTGGGCCCATTACCACACATCAGCATGACCTGACGTGGCTCAAGCTGCATTCCAGCCTGAGATGCCCAACACTTGTGCAGAAGTCAAGAAGAAGCCCTGTATCACGGTGCTGCCACCTTCCCCGGGAATATTGCCTGCCTCCACCTAACACCTCCCTGCAGCCCACAAAAACTCTATTTGCAAGAGACTCACTCCCAACCCAGCTCACATGTGAAAAAACAGTCTGCCTTGCAGCCTAGGAAACCTACTCCTAGCTCAGCCTGTCAGACAAAAGCAGGGCAAGTGCACAAGTAAAAAGCTGCTGCCATTTACCCTACCAATTAAGAAGCATGAGGTATAAACAACAACATGGTTTTCTGCTCTGCCCACTCCATCCCCTTCGAGTGAGTCCTCACTGGCGGCATGATTTAACCCATATGCTACCCACTGACCAATCCTGACCAAATGATTCATCTTTTAAAACGCTGGTGAAAAAAGGCTTGTTCAAGCAGATTCTTCTTTGCCAGGTAACACAGCACCTGGCAAAAGAGGTCTTTGGTCTGACTTGACCATTCTCATGTTCTTAAGCTTGTTTCTTAAAAGAAGCATTTTTCTTTTTAAAAGGTTTAGGTATCAAATACAGAGAGCAGGTTTCTTTTCCCTCCTGATGCATGGGTTTTACGTATACAGTAAAAGGAAGATATCTTCAAGAATTCAGAATGTGAACAGTAGATAAACTAATGATTAAAAAAAGAAAAATCCAAGCAGAAAAACTTCAAGCTGACCAGCCTCACATTATATCTATGACAATGAAATAGGATGCCATCTATCAGTAACTGCATATGATTTTACTAAAACTACAATCTTTACTCAAACTAGTCTCCAATTTTGGTTCTCTCTTGTCAAAGAGCCTCAACACATAAAAAAATAAAGACCCAAAGTTCAGACTGAAAGAGCCAACATTGCTTATCAGAAACCATTCAGCATGAATAGTTAGGTTAAACCAAGCCTTTGCAAGGTTTCCATCCAGCCTGACTCCCCAAACGCACATACAGAAACAAACACACAGTTATATGCTACCCTGAATAGCTAGCCTGGCTACAGATGGAGAGGCAATAGCCAAATAGCAGCAGTTCCTGGGGAAAAATGACAGCAGACATTACTTGTCATACTGCTCGCTTCCCAGGAACAGCAGCTGTGCCGGCTCCTGTCCATCATGCACCCAACTCTGAGACCAATACAGAAGAATGAAAGGCTGGGAGGGGACCAGCTGCAGTACTCCAACTCCAATTCATGTACTGCCAGGACAATGGAAGAAAGAAAAACATGAGAAAGACAGGAAGCTCAGAAAGGTAGCACATGCGTTACAAGACAGGACTAGAAGCAGAAAAAACATATTTAATTGGACTGCTGGTCTAAAATCTAATATGACCTCCATTGAAGATGGCTCAGTATTCTTTTATTTCTGAAGTCATAAATCAAGTTGCCAAAACCGGAGAAATGCAGAAAAATATATGACAGGATAGCAGACTATGTTTTGTACAAGATAAGATTATGATCATCACAAAGTTTCTTTTCATTCCAGAATGTGAACAGATTATCATATTTAATACAATTGAGGGCAGAAATATACAGATTTAGTTTTATGCAAGTAGGATTAGTCTAATTCTAGGAGCTCTGTTAAAAAAACAAATGAAGGCACATCAAATTTAAAAAAAATAGCATTTACATTACAATACTTCAATAAAATCGGCTGAGAAATGAGCTGGATCTTCTTCATCCAAAACGACAATAGGAAAACAATGTTTAAGATTTCAAATATATACAGTATTATGAAGAAAGTTTTCAACTCTCCTGTCAGAGGATTAAAAGAAGAAAACTAAAGCTTTAAATCAGCAGTGTGAAAATCCAGGAACATAAGAAAATTCTTCAGATTAAGAAGAGTTATTTTTAGAAGAGCTGCCAAGGAAAATGGCAAAATATCCTTTCCCTTTTGCATTGTAACAAATTTCTTAATAGCTACCAAATTAAGTGAATCTGATTCTCTGAGTATGGGATATAGATTAGACGAACTCCTCAGCCCTGCAGCTCTATAATTTTTCACATGCACAGAGACATTCATACCAACTTCATTGCAGTTGAAATGAAGAATGCACCGCGTGTCTGAAAGATCAGGACCTCAATTTTAGACCCCATTTGCTCTAGTGAACTAAGAAGGAACTTACCAATGGTAACTTTGCCTTGCCATCTTTGATGAACTCTTTTGCATGCTCATAGTCATCAGGTTTATCAGAAACAAGCCTGGAATCACCAAATGAAGAATATGGCTGGAGAACATTTAAAAAAAAAAAAAATTAATTGTGTAGTAAGATACATTAATCACATCAGTCAAGGGTCTGTCACAACATAGCCCAGAACAGAGGTCAGCAATTATTAAGAGGATCTTAAATTTCGATCTCTCCTTTAGAGCACCTATAAGATCAGGTCTGACATTCCCCACTTCCCAGAAAATCTGACACCCAGGATTTATAAATTAACTTTTATGCTTATGTCTCCAAAACAGGGGAAACAGAATACTGCAAAGATTATTCTCCATGTACAGCTCATTCTGAGTACTACCTAGATATACCCTCTTTTAGAGAAGCAACTGAACAAACCATGATCTATGAATCAGAAGTACTAAGAAATGAGCAACTCTAAGATTACAAGCAGAATGCTTAAAATGCTTTAATACACACAGGAGCTGTAACAGAAGTATACAACTGATTCTTCAAAACTAATATATACTTATTAAGGGTCCCAGTTACTGCATAATGATCTGTACTTAACAATGCAGGCCTCAACTGCAAGTGGCCACTAATTTACGACAACTCTCACTTTTAGAATCACAGAATCATTTAGGTTGGATAAGACCTTTAAGATCGAGTCCAACCATTAACCCAACACTGCCAAGTCCAACACTAAACCATGTCCCTAAGCACCACATCGACACATCTTTTAAATACCTCCAGGGATGGGGACTCAACCACTTCCCTGGGCAGCCTGTTCCAATGCTTGACTACCCTTTCCGTGAAGAAATTTCTCCTAATATCCAATCTAAACCTCCCCTGGCACAGCCTGAGGCCATTTCTTCTCGTCCTATCACTAACTACTTGGGAGAAGAGACCAACACCCACCTCACTACAACCTCCTTTCAGGTAGCTGTAGAGAGCGAGAAGGTCTCCCCTCAGCCTCCTCTTCTCCAGGCTAAACAATCACCGCTCCCTCAGCCGCTCCTCATAAGGCCTGTGCTCCAGACCCTTCACCAGCTTTGTTGCCCTTCTCTGGACACGCTCCAGCAACTCAGTGTCCTTCTTGTACTGAGGGGCCCAAAACTGCATACAGTGTTCCAGGTGTGGCCTCACCAGTGCCAAGTACAGGGGAACAATCACTTCCTTGCTCCTGCTGGCCACACTAGTCGTCATACACACCAGGATGCTGTTGGCCTTCTTGGCCACCTGGGCACACTGCTGGCTCATGTTCAGCCACCTGTCAACCAACACCCCCACATCCCTTTCTGCCAGGCAGCTTTCCAGCCACTCTTCCTCAAGCCTGTAGCGTTGCATGGGGTTGTTGTGATCCAAGTGCAGGACCTGGCACTTGGCCTTGTTGAACCTCATACAGTTGTCCTCGGCCCATCAATCTAGCCTGTCCAGATCCCTCTGTAGAGCCTTCCTACCCTCAAGCAGATCAACACTCCCACCCAACTTGGTTTCATCTGAAAACTTACTGAGGGTGTACTCCCAACCCCTCCTCCAGATCGTTGATAAAGATACTAAACAGAACTGGCCCCAATACCCAGCCCTGGGGAACACCACTTGTGACTGGCCACCACCTGGACTTAACTCCATTCACCACTGTCGTGGTTTAGCCCCAGCCAGCAACTAAGCACCACGCAGCCGCTCGCTCACTCCCCCTACCCCGATGGGATGGGGGAGAGAATCGGAGGAGTAAGAGTGAGAAACACTCCTGGGTTGAGATAAGAACAGTTTAATAATTGAAATAAAGTAAAATAGTAATGCTAATAGTAACAGTATAATAATGATAATAATAATAATGATACACGAAGCAAGTGATGCACAATGCAATTGCTCACCACCCGCCGACCGATACCCAGACAGTTCCCGAGCAGCGATCGCTGCTCCCTGGCCACCCCCCCCCAGTTTATATACTGAGCATGACGTCATATGGTATGGAATAGCCCTTTGGTCACTTTGGATCAACTATTCTGGCTGTGCCCCCTCCCAGTTTCTTGTGCGCCTGGCAGAGCATGGGAAGCTGAAAAAGTCCTTGACTAGCATAAGCAGTACTCAGCAACAACTAAAAACATCAGCATATTATCAACATTCTTCTCCTACTAAATCCAAAACACAGCACTATGCCTGCTGCTAGGAAGAAAATTAACTCTATCCCAGCCGAAACCAGGACAACCACAAATCTTTGGGCCTGGCCATCCAGCCAGTTTTTCTACCCAGCAAAGAGTATGCCCATCCAAGCCATGAGCAGCCAGTTTCTCCAGGAGAATGCTGTGGGAGACTGTGTCAAAGGCTGTACTAAAGTCTAGGTAGACAACATCCACAGCTTTTCCTTCATGCACTAAGGGGGTCACCTTGTCATAGAAGGAGATCAGGTTGGTCAAGCAAGACCTACCTTTCATAAACCCATGCTGTCTGCCAATGATGCCCTGGTTCTGTACAGGCCATGTGATAGCACTCAAGATCATCTGCTCCATAACCTTCCCTGGCACTGAGGTCAGACTGACAGGCTTGTAGTTCTCCAGATCTCCTTCCGGCCCTTCTTGTAGATGGGTGTCACATTTGCTAACCTCCAGTCAACTGGGACCTCCCCGGTTAGCCAGGACTGCTGATCAGTGATGGAAAGTGGCTTGGTGAGCACTTCCACCAGCTCCCTTAGGACCCTTGGGTGGATCCCATCTGGCCCCATACACTTGTGCTGTCTGAGTGGTGTAGCAGGTCGCTAACCATTTCCCCTTAGATTATGGGGGCTTCATTCTGCTTCCCGTCCCTGTCTTCCAGCTCAGGGGGCTGGGTACCTGGAGAACAACTGGTCTGACTATTAAAGACTGAGGCAAAGAAGGCATTAGGTACCTCAGCCTTTTCCTCAGCCTTTGTCATTCTGTTTCCTCCCACATCCAACAAAAGACGGAGATTCTCCTTAGCCTGCCTTTTGTTGCTAATGTTTTGATAGAAACATTTTTTATTGTCTTTTATGGCAGTAGCCAGGTTAAGTTCTAGTTGGGCTTTGGCCTTTCTAATTTTCTCTCTACATAACCTCACAGCATCGTCATAGTCCTCCTGAGTTGCCTGCCCCTTCTTCAAAAGGCCATAAACTCTCTTTTTTTTCCCCATGAGTTCCAGCCAAAGCTCTCTGTTCAGCTAGGCCGGTCTTCTTCCCCACCAGCTCGTGTTTTGGCACATGGGTATGGCCTGCTCCTGCGCCTTTAAGATTTCCTTCTTGAAGAATGTCCAGCCTTCCTGGATTCATTTGCCCGTCAGGACTGCCTCCCAAGGGACTCTGCCAGCCAGTCTCCTAAACAGGCCAAAGTCTGCCCTCCGGAAGTCCAAGGTAGCAGTTCTGCTGACCCCCCTCCTTAACTTCTCCAAGAATCAAAACCACTATAATTTCATGATCGCTGTGCCTAAGACAGCCTCCAACTGTCACATCACCCACAAGTCCTTCTCTGTTCGCAAACAACAGGTCCAGCAGGGCACCTTCCCTCGTTGGCTCGCTCACCGGCTGTGTCAGAAAGTTATCTTCCACACACTCCAGGAACCTCCTAGACTGTTTCCTCTCTGTTGTATTGTATTTCCAGCAGACGTCTGGTAAGTTGAAGTCCCCCATGAGAACAATGGCTAGGGACTGTGAGACTTCCCAGGGAACGTAGGGTGGGATTCCAGTAGCCTATCTCTCTCTCGCACTCCCTGATACTCCTCAAGCTACTCACGTCCCCCCAGAGCTCTGTCACTAAGTGGAGAAGCTCCTCTATGTGGACACACCTCCCACAGGTGTGCTCCCTGCTGCTGGCGGGTCCTGCCGTAAGAGCAGGGCACACCCTGCAGCCTGACACCTGGCTGTTCCCACTGGGGCTCTGTCTGGGAAGCTGCATCAGTTGTGGCAGATGCAGAGCTTAGAGAGGCCGTGGCTTTCTGCTGGGTGGATGCCATTGCTCCCTGGTCAAGCTGGAAGAGCTTCAGCACCCTTCCTGCACACCCTTCTGCCCAAATTGCCAGGCCACGCCCTTGCTGTTTACCTGCCCTGTTGGCAGGGCTGGTCACTAATGCTCCCTAAGGGCTT